TTTTTTTTTTTTTTATTCTTATATGTTGGTAAATTTTTGCTTTAAAAATCATTGAACTATGTAGTTATACGTTCCGGTTAAGGTTTTATGCCTTTAGTTAATCTGCATGCAATAGTTGTAGAAGTATCAACAATTTTTAAGGTGGCGAATTACGCCTAGCGAACCGCCATTTGTATACATTTGAAGTTCAGTAAAATAGTGAATTAATTCAATCTCTGCACCAACTTCAGTGTCTGTTTGCCAAGTGGGACGAAAAATAAACTTTCAGTTTTGTGCACCAAAAAATCTGCCTTCTTGCCGGTTGGCCGAATCGCTTGTTTTTGCGTAGAAACGCTAATTTTATTTTATTTATTTTCTTTTAACTGTTTTAACTGTATTTGGTGTTTTATGTTTTTCTGTATTTTTCAATTTTTAATGAAGATGTTTTGAGTTTTTATATAATTTTGTTATGCCACGAATTGAGAACTGAATTAATTGAATGAGAAATATATCTGTAATGAAATTCGAGGAAATAAGTTTAGATGAAATGCAACAGAAAATGTGTATAGTTTAATAGGCCATACAAGGAAGTCATGTGGCGTCCACATCAGATCTTTTAAGTTAAAGGAAGGACTGTTTTAAAAGTACCTAAAACCATACGCTATAAATCCTAATAACTGCGAAACTTGGAAATAATATGAACAAAAGTCCTTTACAACCGAGAGCACCTGTTGTTAAATAAATACAAAAGATAAAATTTTCCATTCATCTTAAATCTCTTCTCACTGAGAATTCCACATTCTCTAAAGACCCCAGTAAAAAGAATTGTTGTGTTGACCGAAATTCGTCCACCGTTTCAAAAGAAGAAATATCTGAATGTTTGCAGAAAACTTATCCTGTGATGTTTGCTTCCCTGCAGAGCATTCGATCCATGATTCTGATGGGGAAGGGGAAAGAGAGGAGACCGCTGTACACATATCGTCTGCTTTCAGCATCGGAGGAAAAAAAACAAAATCCATTTCTATTTGAATCCAAATATAAATAAATAGAAACCGAATTTCTGTGATTCTTCATTTTGAAGACATTTCTGCTCCTGAACTATAAAAATAAATTTAATTTCCTTCGAAAACTAAAAATGGCTGTTTAAACATAACGAATGATAATGAATCAAATTTTAAGATTTGTTTGCACAAAATATATCTATGTTTAACTCAGGTAACTATGTTAATAAAAAAAATTTTGAAACATGTAAAATAAATAGTGCGATTAGTGTATAAACTCCGTAGAGGATTACTTAAATATTGTTCTTACTTTTGAGTTAGAATTCTTTTCTTTTAAGATTTTAAAAAGAGGTATTCGATTTGTCGATATAATTTTAATTATTTGGTGTTTGGATCTCGTTTTAATTTTAATCCCAATAGTCTGGGATTCACTTGTGTTAAGTAATTTAAGTTAATATTCAAAAATAAAAAAATAAACTAACAAATTAAAAAATAAGATATAAGCTTCTCTCCGAAAGGTGACATTTCTTTACATCGCATCTTTTGAGATGAAAATTTAAAAAAACTGGATATAATTATGTAATTTAATAAAATAGACATAAAAGTCTTTTTAAGCTGCACTCTTTTAGTTAAATATGATAAAAGTAAATTTTATCTAGGTATCTGATTACGTTCTAATCATCAATTTTTATGAAATTTTTTAAAAATTTCTTATTATTTTCTTTTCAAACCTGTACTTTCAGCATCTCAAAAGTACTTTTATTTTGTCTCATTGGTTATTAGAAGCTGTTATGGCTATTCTTTTTCTACATCATGAAGTGGAAGTTACTATCGAAAGACCAGAATTTGATGCTGAACACAGACTATTCTAAATACCTTTAAGCTAAGAATTTTTCATTTGAACACTTTTTGTGATCCTTAAAAAGAATTTTAAAACGTTCTGTTTATTATTAACTATTCAAAAACATTGCAAATTCGATTTCACATTCAGAAACAGTTTCTTTTATTTTGTTTGTATTTACAATATAATTAAACCTATTTTTTTTTTTTTTTTTTGAAAAACTAGATTTTTAAAAACTTTTCTGCAACTAAAAAACTTTAATATTACTATAGTAAATTTATTTAACTACTCACAAATATTCTGTATAATATTGTGAATTAAGTGGACTAAAAGCTTAGATTTATGTACATATTTTAAATTTCCATAGATAATTTTGTAAATGAAATGAGAGAAGCTTCTCGAAAAATAGCTAGTACATATACTCAACAGGTATATTTAGAAGAAATTTTATTTTGTTGCTTGGATTTAAATCTTTTTAATTCCTTATGCATTAATAAATGTAAGTGAAAAAATAAAAGTAAAATACTGATAAATATGTTTGCGGAAATATATCTAATATCCTGAAATTTTAACATATTTTTAACCCAAAAATGCAAGGCAAAAGTAAAAATTACACTATAATAACATGTTTATCTCCTATTTTTATCATTTTAAGTAGAATTCTGCCAATTAACACCAATAATAGATTTTTCTGTACTATTTTTCAAAATTTGGTTGTCGAATATAGTCAGATACATTAAGCTGTCGTAACATTCCTAGTCATGCTGCTATTATCAGTGACGATGTTAAACCAAAATTGCCAGTGAAAAATTTTAAGATATTTAATCTGATTATTCTTATACCAAATGATCCAAAAGTCGCGAGCATTAAGCTTTCAAAATTTGTAGAAATGCTGCAAAGGATATTAGTGGCAAATTGTTTTAATGGATGAAGAAACTGAACAATTACTGAGCAACCCCACTGAAACAATTATCTATTAGCATGCTCCCAGTAACACTAAAATCTGAAGTAAATTATTCACACTCTTATTCATCATTTTGATATAAATTAAACTTCATAAATTAGACTCTATCTCTCTTCACAAAACTAGGTAATTATTATTAATTAAAATTACAGTTCAGTGAAAAGAAAATTCCAATATTGAAATATTCGGCATTCATTTTTGCATTTTTCTTTGAATGGGAAAGGGTGTAAGCAGAAAAATTAAAGAATATTCAAAACGTACACAATCATCTGATTTAAACTTTAAAAAAAATTCTGAAAGTGTTCAGATTTTAACGATTGCCCAAAAGGATTAGTTAAGGTTTTTTACGCTTTCACTGAAATCGCAATCGACCAGTCCGTAGTTACACTTCCTCCTGCTAACCCATTTCTTTTTTCCTTTTTAGCTATATTATTAAGCAATATTACGTCACTTACGTCATATACAAATCAACAGAAAAATTACAAAAATTTTAAAAGTACCATAACAGCATGTGATTAGAATTTCCGATGCAATGTTACGTGTTGGCATCCATTTTTCTATTTTTTTCAGTCTTTTCTCAATTCTTGATATCAGTGTTCACTTTTCTTAGTAAGATGGCTTGGAAACATTTTTTTAATATTTATTATTTTTAATAATAAATATTAATAAGTAAATAATAAATATTATTATGTTTATTAAATATCATGGTCTTCGCACTTACGATATCAAATTCAGTTCAACGGCAGAATCACGAAATATTTAAAAACAGCATATTTGTAAAATTTCCGATAGGCAGTCTCGCGCTGGAGATAAAAATGTTTTATTCCGTACAGTGTCGCCCCTGGTGGCTTTCAAATCGTTGAGTCTGTTAATCAGAAATTCATGGAAGTTTTACAAAATATGGAATATAAAATTCGAAATTCGGGCTTCCAGGTGCACATGTTTGGGTAGAAGACTACATTATTCGAAATTTGATGGCTCTAGGTACCATCGTTTTCTCACAGTGCGAGGAAAATACTTACATACATACGGTTTAGAATGGATTTAATGCACACAGAATCGATGATAGCTTGATAAATTTATTTTACGAAAAGAAACATTTTACAGTTCTGGAACTTTCCGGAAAAGTACTCATACAGCTCATCTCAATTTCACAGGGCACAATGAGTAGTTGCACTTCAAACTACTAAGAACGTTAAACAAAATGCAATGCAAAGCGTATCTGAAAGACGAAGTTCTCACGGAGACCTCAGTACTCCGTATTCAACTCTGAACTAGCAATTGAGCCGGTTTTGTATAGTTTTTCCCCGGCCGCCTAGAAATCTCTAGTAGCTTCCATTTCTCGAAATTGCTGGTTGGCATGTACGATAAAGTTACATATAAGGGCTGATGCGGTCACAGTTGTATAAAAGAATAAATTCCGGTATCAATTAGTTATACAGGAACCGGACCGTCAATTACAGTATTAATTAGTTGTATAGGAATTGGACCAAAATGGCGATTTCTCGCCAAACTTGGGGACAAAAAATACGTCGCAAAACTGTTGCCAGCTTGGCGATATCTCGACAATTTACCGAGTTTTTTCTCGGCAGTTTTCAGTGTTGAAAAGACTTGCCACTGTAATCTCACTTTTCCAGCAGAGTTTCGACTTTTCAGATTTTCATGTTACATTATACAAAAGATACTACAATTTTAAACATAACTTCACTAAAATTATTCACATATATACAAAAATTCGTAACAATGCATACATGCAGAATCTTCATTATTATTTAATTTCTTTTTCTTTGAAAGTAATACAGGGTGATAATATTTGGTAGCAGCAAACTGAAAAGTTATACAGCCCCTTATAGTGGACGACACAAATTCTTGTTTCCAGCCTAAATAACCCATTCGAGGTACCGCCATTTTTGGCTAAAAAAATGCCAAAAAAGTTGCACCGTATATGCTACTGCGAAATTCCATCATAACCACCAGGTTTTATTTTGAATGTAGAAAACAGCGAACACAAACTAGAAAACTTAAAAATTTTAATGGGATTTTATTTCTTGAATGCCTTGTGCAATAACCGAACCACAGCCTCTCGTGGCAAATATAGACTTCGAAGTAGAAGGCCTTGGAAAAGCGGCGCAGTAGAAGAGGAAAAAATGTAAGAAAACAAGTGGTATCACTTCTTTCTTTTGTGAATGTGTCTAATCTCTCCTTTCTTTCACAGGTGACCTTCGAATGGAGAAGTGGGGGCGTGACGGGACCCAGTATGCGAGGAGGAGACGCCACTGACCATGCCAAGCCGGAGGCACCCCGGCGGCACTCACCACCTATTAGTAAGTTCGGCGACCGCCTTCTTAGTGATCACTTCTTTCATTAATGATCTAAACCACCGTTCTCTCTCTGTCTGGTTTTTTTTTTTTTTTTTTTTTTTTTTTTTTTTTTTTTTTCCCGCTGGCTTACATTTGCGAGTAACAATAAAAACAATGCCTTCTTTAATTTAGAACTGAAAAGTTTAGATTACAGGCTAACTTAGCCGATTGCTATTGCCAGTTTTTAAGCTTAAATCTAGGCTGTTAAACAAAATTAAAATTCAACTAAAAAATTTTATTATTATTTTGAACGATGCATCATTTTTTTTTTTTTTCAGTATTTCTTTTTCTAAATGTAAAATGTTTAAAAAAATATCAAAACATTAGAATGGAATCCATTGAGGGGAAGAAGGGGTTTGTTGTTTGAATAATATTAAAAATTTAAAGAAAGACAACTGTACATTAGCATAACATTTCATAATTGTTAATTAGTTTTATCATTTTGAAATACACGAGAGTTATAATTAGACATTTTGCAATCGGTTTAGAAATAGATATATTACTTGAAACACTACTGGTGTAATATAATTTCAAAATATTTCAAAATATTTCAGATAGAATTACTTTTCAAATGATTCATTTTATTACGCTGAAAAGCAACGCTGTCGTATAATATGGAGGACAAGTGAAAGATCTTAGGTCTCGTCGACTTATAACAACATCTGATCACATTATACGTAGCGGATAAAAATTAGAAGTGAAAATAATAACATTCCTCCGAAAGGTTAATAAATAAGAAAACTCTATTGTTATGAAACATAAACATTCCTTTAGCACAAGCTTTGCATTCCATAACACGCATAACGTCGGAAACTTTCGTGTTTTACGCCATAAGCCTTAAACCTTCTATTTTGGTACAATGCCTCGGTTTGGTTTTTGGTTTATTTAATTATGGGAAAACAAACAAAAGATATCTGCCTGAGAGAGGAGCTGCTTTCGTTGAGTTTCTAAGGGAAACTCTCTCGTATGCATGACGAAAACGACCATGCTGCCAGCCTGTTCGCGAGTATTCGAACCTCGGACCGAACTACCAATATTCAGCGATTTTAATACTCGTGGTGCCCACCAGAGGAGTTCATCGTGCCACTTTTCATGGTTATACTATAAGGCAGCAGTCTTCAAATTTTTTCAGTTTTGTAATAAAGAAAAATAAAATATATATATCATCATATACCAAAAAGTTCGCCATTTTACATCCATTTAAATCTTTTGTGTGAATGTTGCACCACCCAAAATAGTGTAATTTACCACTAATGGTACATGTGCTATAATTGGAGAAATCTTGCTATAGGGTGAATGTTCTAAGATGCCATAACCATAAAAGATTCTTATAATAATTTTAGAGTAATTAAAGATTAAAAATATGATCAACTGGATCGACAGCGATTATAAATTAAATAAGCGTTGTTGATTTCGATTGCTATCGAGAAATTTTTGAATTTCTTATTTCCTCCCCCCCCCCCCGGATATAAGCTTTATATTTTTCAACCCGAAGTTCTGTTTACGAAACAGTATACAAATTGAAGTTCATTAAAGAAAAATGTTGTAAATTCCCTACAAATTAAATCTCAAATAGGGTCTACGGCAACTTCTCAGAGTAGAATTCCCCCTACAGGGAAAATTTCATAATTCCAGGGAAATTCCAGGGAAACACCAGCCTTTTAGTTAATTCTTAAGTATTTAGTTTTAGGTTCTATGAATATAAAAAACTACTTTTACTCGAATATTGGTATCTATCAACATATTCTATACTTTTTGTTGTTTAGTTTATAAAACACGTTAAAATAATCTAAATAAAAAAAATTATATATGTATTTTTCGAGCTTTCGAAAGGAGGGGGATGATAGTCTAGCAATGGTGAAAGGAGTGTATTAGGATGAGAATCACAACTTTAAGTTTTTTAATACCGATCAAAGAAATTTATATAAGATATTGGAATTTTTATAAATCAGAGAAGGGAAAAATGGGATGATAACAATTGCAAAGTCCGTATTTTATAAAAGCTATACAAAGCATTAGATAAAACTTTTTTTTTTTTTTTTTTTTTTTAATTCCTATAATTTCACGAAAAATCTAAACATACGGTGCTGTGAATCACGATGAGTAAGATATTTCATTTATCTTTCCATATAATAAAACAGCGTTGCTTAATGCAGCGTCAAGTTAATCATTACATCCAGACTTGTTAACAGTATTTTACAACAAATATTTCTTCATGTCTTAAATGTCGTGAAGAATATAAGTTTCTGATCTCCTATAATAGAAGACCTGTTACCTACTCGATATATACGTTATCTTTCTTTCTTTTTTTTCTTTTTTTCTTTTTTTTATTTTGTTCGCATGTTTAGTAAAATTAGATGATAATTCTTCTAAATTAGTGACGAATATATCAGAAAAAATTCAGCAGCAAAATTCTAAAATTGGACAGTAATCCATTGTATGACAATGTAAAGCTTAATTTTTCCTTAACTTTTCTCAGACATGAAATATGGAAGAAATAATCATCAGTTTGTAAATACGTTTCGCTGATTTTGCTTTAGATATAATTCATGCAGTTCTTTAATCCCGATTAAAAGGGAATAAATTGAAAGAATGAATTTTACACCTCCGTTTTGCTCGTGCTAACAGGAACTTTCTGACTGCAAACCTCTCTCTCTATATATTTTCCGATTTGTTTCTTTGCTTTTAATTCTGCTCAAACTGTAGAGTACTTTATTTTTAATTTTTCTATTTTTCTTATATATCAGTACAGGGGAGAAATTTGGTGATATTCAGCAAAACGATTTATTTATCGAATTGGGAACTGCAGATATTATTTTTGCTTAAGAAATGAAGCAAAATATTTGTATAATTTTGCACATTCTTATATTGTTTTAATATTTTAATTTTAAAAATCTTTTTCTTTCAAAGTGTAATCTGAATCTGAAATTTTCATGCTGCACTTATTCAAAATTAAATACTTTGGTGGGGTATCCTGTGCAAATTCCATCTTGATCCGTGATTCACACATTAAAATGCATTATTACTGATGTTGGAACTATAAATATAACAATATGCGTCCTCTTTCTCCCACTAATAGTAGTAATAAAATAATTTAGCAGCTGCAGAATGGCAACAAACATTCGTAACATTTGCGAAATCTCCCTTAAAAAAAAAGGTCTTCTTTCTCTATGTAGGAGTTTGTAGGGAGGGGAAGTAAAAATAAGGCTAATGACGAGAAACGAGAGTTTTTTTTTTTTTTTTTTCCTCTCTCTTTTTGAGGGTGAGGGTAGTTAAAAAGCGTAGCCTAAAAAGAACGCGTGTATTGTGCCTTGCAGCTGTTTTGAGACCGCGCACTTTATCCCCTACCCCCTAGTCGACTGCGGAGGGTAGGGGGGAATAAATCATTTTCATTTGTATCGTGTAATTTTCAGGATACTGCAACGCGTCATGATTTAGAAGTCATAATCTTCGTCGTTCTTAAATCACTCCATTGTTGGGCAGTATTTTCTTACAATAGGAGCTATCATGACAAACTCACCTCCCTCCTTACTTTGGAAACATCATCTTTGTGCTTTGAAAATGCCGCCAGGAGGCGTCATAATTGCCAGTTACCAACTAATGCTCAGTTATATACTTTGCCACCAATATTTTGGAAGTCTGCTTTATTTACTTTAGTATTAGGCTGAAAATGCATACATTGTGTAAACAAAAGTAATGTTAAAAAATGTTTTTGTGCATAGAGATGTGACAATGATGCATTTCATTTCGTCTAAAAAATAGTATCTTGTAAATCACTAAAATTATACAAAGCAGTCGACCCACTTATAAGGTATTTCTCCCGCCTTCCTAGCGAGCCTTCGTGGTGTAGTAGTTCTGCACGCTGGGCTGGTATTCTAGAGGTCCGTGGTTCGATTCCCGACGAAGGCGTTGCTAGTTTTTCCATCTTTCCGGTCTTCTAAAAAAAAAAAAAAAAAAAAAAAAAAAAAAAAAAAAAAAAAAAAAAGAAACCCTAATGTCTCTACAGTGGCATCCGAGCTAAAAGAGTGTTGGATGATGATTCTCCTCACCCAGGATTTGGCGACTTTTTATTAAAAGAAACACAACAAATTCCCCATGTACCACATAGTATCACATGGGGCTTACAGAAATAAGTATGAAACACAATACAAAATAAACAGAAGAGAAAACTGAAATAAAATTAAGGATTATTACAAAGTTTTACAATGAATTGACAAAAAGTGTCAAAAGCACTTCTCTCGGAAATAAATTGGTAAAACTCTGGAGGCCAGTTAATATTAAAATTTTTCAGTCCCAGTTTCAAGACTTTTCTTTCGCTCTCATATTTAGGACATAGAAGAAGCACATGTTCAACATTCTCCTCGCAACCGAGGCCACAGTCACATACAGACTCAGGACTCAACTTAAATCTGTTCAAATAACTTTTAAAATTCCCATGTCCAGTAAGAAACTGGTTTAATTTGTAATTTGTGAAGAAATGATGACATGACAATCTCATTTTAACAGAAGGGAAAAATCTCCTAGTTAGACTCCCTTTATTTGAATTAATGAATTCGTGATTCCATGACTCCACAATGCTTTCATACATGACCTTCTTATAAAAGGAATTAGGGATATTGACAAAAGTGTCAATTTCCCGCTTAGTCGCAGTCTTAGCAAGGAAATCGGCTCGTTCGTTCCCAACAACACCTGTATGACCTCGAACAAATGAAAATGAAACCGAAATATTTTTATCCTTTAAATTTTTTAGTTCTTTTTGAATCTCGATAATGATATTATTAGAAGAAGAAATACATTTTAAGATCTCCAAGGATGAAAGGGAATCAGTACAAATGAGATAGTCTGAAACAGCACTGTTTTGTTTAAAGACCCATTCGACGGCGAAGTTTAAGCACAAAAGTTCAGCTATGAAAACGGTACATTCATCTCTGATTCTAAATTGAAAGTGCTCAAATTCAAGACCA